TACTGATCCTGTGAAACACGTCTTTTCATTGAGGCAACCCGTGTTTCTCATTTCAGTTTTACTAAGGTGGGAGTGAATGGTCCCAGTTCATTTTGCAGTGACCATATGTCCACACATCATCATCTACAATGTTGTTTACATACGATATTATAGACAACATTAATCAATAGTCTAAAATTCCTGTTGGTCCACAACTGATAAAAGCTACACACTAATCTGTAGCAATTAGAACCTAAACGATAGGAGAGGGGCAGAAGCTGATAGATAATGCCAGAACACTCCCGCATTTCTCCAAAATTAACTGTTTTCTATTTTGCCATGGCTGTAGCTAATAAGATGCTTTGATAGCTTCAGATTGTCACCTCTAAGGGAAAGGAAGGGAAATGCAGTAAGAAGGAAGAGGACAGATTAGCAAAATCAAACTTTTCTTTTTGACCTTAAGGTAAATTCAGTTCCTACTGAACCTGCTGACTTCAGTGAGAACAAAGTTGAATCCGTGCTATAAAGGTGGAATTCCTCTGGATTGATGCAAATATGAATCCAGCCAGGGAATATCCAGTTAAAATGCAAATGCATTATGTTAAGTGCATCCACAGTGCTTAATGTATTCACAGAAGTGAATATACTGACGTATTTGTGCTGGCAAGTGTGTGTCACTCATCACTGGCAACGTGCTTTAGCTTTATGTGATTTGAAAACTAGCAAGTTCAGTCGGTCAAATTAGGCATATCTAACAGTGCAAATTTTTCATTAGCAATTATCCGGTAGCATAGGAAGCTGTGGTGTCACTCTGTTGCACACATCCCTTCTTGCATGCCACATTAAAAGGAAACAAAAACCATGAGAGGCCAAAGGGAACTGCTCACAGGAAACCACGCACAGATTGCTCATTGCTAATGGATTGTGGACAGTTGGTCAATGCATTTTCTGTAAAAACTTGGCGCATTTAAAACAGCTCATTTCATGGCTCACAGGTTACTGTGCTGATGAACTGACCAAATTTCTGACGGCATCTGAGCCATGTTTGTAAGAGCATCTAGAAACACACACTCCCACTTTTCACTGGGAGTTATTTTAAGTCTTTCCTGCACTTTGGCCCTAAGTTTTAAAGTAATTTCTTTCATTTTCCCACATGTGGGAGGTTACACGTGAAAAACTCTTTCTGTCAAGATGTGATAACGCTCTTTGCTTGGTCAAAACTGATGCCCAGTTCTTGGAACCAAATTACCAAACCAAAAAGCTCACGTGCTAATGCCGTGATTTGTATTAATTTGAGAATTAATGATGAAAGTGAATTAGTGATGAAAGAACAAGACTTGAATCCTGCCCTAGGCTCCTTGTGCCCACTTCACCCTTCTCTTTTGTGAGTAACAGCAGGAACAGTGAGCTGGCTTCAGTTATGTCTTCCCTCAAAATGCAGAACAAAGGTGTCCCTTTGCGAAGGCATAGCCAGGACAGTGCTCTCCACAAAGGTCAGCACGACAGAAGCAAATGTCATACCTGGACAAACAAATAGGAGCATATAGTCTGCAAGAGGCCCATGAGGTCATCCCTCCAGGCTCTTTGGCACCAACAGAGCCCCAGGGAAATACTGGGTCCAGTTGTGAGTACCAGACTTGAAGGTGGGCTAACAGTGGGATGTTTGGAGGAGAGTACCCACAGACAGACTCTCTCAAGACTTTGTACGCTGTCCTGGAAGAGAAGAGGCAAATGCTGATGTGACAGAACAAGCTTCACTCTAGTTTTCTCCAACACAGAATAAGCATCAACTTGCAGGACAGAGTGGTTAGCTTTCCTTAAAGCAAGTGGCAGAATGGCTCGAGTAAGGACTTCAGCATCTACCCACAGTTTGCAATCTTCCCTAAATAAATATTGACAAACAAGGATCACTGATTTCATTTACAAAACCTGTCTGTGGTCAATACAATACTAAAGTTTGTGCACAGCAAATGGTTGTGTCATAACCGATTTGGTCCCTAATTTAAGGAGGGCACTGCAGAGTTGCCGATGTTCTCCAGCACTCCGAACGTGTAGCTAATGACTGAGAGCGTAAACGACTTACTCATGCATGATTTGTGCTCATTCTAGCCTAGACGTCAATACTCTCTCTCAAGTAAGCTGAACAGAACTGCAACATCCTTCCTGAAATGTCAGCTCGCTGGGGATGGGGAGCTAGTGATAAACATTGCAGCTTTTCTTCAGAAAGAACTTCTCTGGCTTTATTGCTTCATTTAATTGAATTTTCTTTTCTCCTCTCTTTTCTCAAATGCAGCTCTTGAAAATGAAACAGTCCAGTCTCGGGTGCATTGTGTTCCTTTGTTGAAATTCATTGGCATGGCACAAATGTAACTGAAAGCAGAACCGGCTCATTGTTTTTAGGAAGCAGTTTACAGTATAGTCTGTACCACTTGTTGCTCACTTCCCTGTTTATTATCAGGTCTTTCAATGGCAGGTGGTTTAGGGGGAAAGAAAAAGCAGAAATTACAAAGTTACATAAAACATCTGGGCCAGATCCTCAAGGGATATAAATTGTTGTACCATTTGCAGGCTCTGGAGGACAGGCTTTACCAAGTCAAAGTGCTCTTTGTTTTCTAATACAATCATGCTGCACAAAGAGACTAGAAAAGAGATTTATTTCTTCTGTAGCACTGTGCCCTTGATTAATCTAGTTTGTGGTACCTATTTCAGTGAAAGAGCTAATACCCACAATGACTTCAAAGCATTGCTAAGTGTGACACCTGCCTGTTCATGAATCATTTGCTCCTCTCAAGCCATTTTCTATCAGCAGAGAGGCAAGCAAGATATATGCTATGTGTGAATCCCATATCATCATTAGCAGAAAATTATGCCAAACTGCTGTAAAGTAATTATGCAGCTAAAAGGTGAGCTGGAAGGAAGTCAGTGATTAAGTACTTACCCATTATGTGAGTCAGCCCACCTCACATACTGTTTTGTTCAGAGGCTTTCAATCTATTTTCAAATCGTTGGCCGGTGCCATGGGCTGAATTGAACCTTCACTCAGGCCTTGAGAAGCATGCTCAGAAATGCTCGGCCCTTTTTCATATCAAGTGAATTTTATTTCGGTATCATATAGAACAACATAGGATAACAGTAATTCTTAATCGGTAGCCCAAGGTTGCTCTTGCACCGCCAAGCTATTCTCACCAAAATCTTTCAGGGGTTCTTGCAGAGGTGCTGCAGTTACAGCAATCCATCGTGGTCATACTGCAGCGTAGCTGTCATACAAAAAATGTGAAAAGTGTGAAGGTTTAGAAATGATGGGATCTGAATTACCCCAATAAAACTCTGCCTGAGTGAAAGACCTTGGAGCAATGACTGAGGAAGCACTAGTAACACTGTACTCTGTATCTTCCCTCCAAATGATCTTAAACACTGGTAAGATTAATCTTTGACATTCCTGTGAGAAATACATCTCCATGTTGTGGATGGTAATTTTGAAACACTGAGATATTATTACTAATAACTGACTTTATAAATCCTTTTCCAGAAAGGAGCAGCACACCTTCTGGGACACAGAGAAGACACAGTCTTTGTCCAGAGGGACCCACCAGCAGGACATCAAAGACGACTGTAACAGATGAGACCACAGGAGGCAAATAATCAGTGGGTTCCATAGTTTTATTTCGCATTTAGCCCTCCTCTCCCCCACCTCCCCTGGCTTCCAGCTTCCCCCGCTCAGTTCCTTCACCCTGCTGCTTCCCCTTCTCTCCCTATCGCTCCCCTTCTGCCCACCCCAAACCCCAGAGCCAGCGCTGAGTCAAATGGACAACCAAAGGGCTCGATGCAGCCAAAATGCTGAAGGATTTGTACCTGGGAGACAAGAAACCTTTGTACTGTTCAGGACACTGGAGGGTCCGTTACAAGCAGCTTTTATTCTGTTTTACCCTGTTCCTGTTGGTCAGAAGTCCGATGGAATAACCCTAATAAGTAAATGGGTTTTCTAATATTGCCTCCAAACGTGACACTGGAAACAGGATAGCTAATGGTGAAATCCTGCCTCCAGTGACGTGGGCAGCTGTTTGCTGTCTGCCGATACCATATTTTGCTTCAACACACTTCCATTCTCTCTGTGCAGTTAACCACACATACAGCTCCCCTTTACTGAGGCCCAGTTCTTTGGAAATCAGAATGACTTTTATCACTGATTTAAATGGGAATGAGATTAGGGCACAGGTAGCACAGTCTGTATGTATGGCTGACCTCAGAGTAATCCAGCAATGCTGCTCAGGGTCTGGCACCCTTCCATGCCCTCAGCTGCCAGCCACACAAACAGGAAACACAGCTCTGAGTGGTCTCGCCAACTTACCACCGCCTGCTGACAGGTCCTTATTCAGGTCAGGTGCATGAAGCCCAGCAGCTGGGGTTTCAAACACTGAATCATTTCAAAAGCTATCCAGCTGTCACATGAAGAGTTCAGCTGGCCTCAGGTTCGCTCTGTCTTGGAAATCTGCTCTAGTTTTATTATTAAAAAATGTAAGGAAAATATTCTCAAAGAGCTGCGAAATGCCCTCATAGATTTAATGAGAGCTGGGCCACTAACGGCTGACTGCACCTTTTGAAAATCTGCACTTTGTTGCAACTTTTAATTTGAACAAATTTCAAACTTTTGCAACTTTTAATTTCCAGGTCATGTATTCTATGACTTTGACTGTCAAGTGAAAAATATTTTTAGTAACAGATCCTTGGTAGTCCTAAAGCTACAGATGACCCAGCTGCTTTTAACCTGCTCTTATGAAGGCTGTAAAAGCTTGTTTTTTTCTCGATAAATTAAAACTTTCATGCACTGATCACTATTCCATCCAAAGGCATACTGCATATCAGCAAACGGAAGTAATTTTACAGAGAAACTTTTGCATGTGGCTTGAAAGCAAGCCCAGCAAGTACTGACAATGATAGATGATCTCCTCAGTGACATTCAGGAATAATGCCGTTTCACATTTATATCAGGGGAAAAATAAGCAATAGACATATTTAAATAATCATTAAAAATTAAATGCCTGTCACAAGGCACATTTTAACCCTGTTCTGCTACACAGCTTCTGGAAATCTTTAATGGATATCATCTGAGGTCTTCTCATTTGCTTTGCTCATGAACAAAAGCTCTGTAAATGGAGGTTTGAGTGTATGTGTTATCAGTAAAAGGTTCTCTCGAGGGAAATTAAGTGAAAGGACATTTCTCTGGTCTTCATGTTTGATATTCAGAAGTAATGACGAGATAAGGTAGGCACAGGAGTTCTTTCAAAAAACCGCTAGATAGCAATGGCAACATTTCATAAGGATGTGAACCGTTCATCATCTGCTGCAAAGACTCCATTAATGTGGCCTGCTTTTAAATCCAGCGTTTCGCAAGGAATCCCATTTTCTACCGCTACTGTCACTTCGCCTTTCTCTTCCAAATTTTCTCTCTCTGTTGACTCTTTATTCTTTCTAAAAACAAGGAAGAGAAAATCATCTCACTCTGTTGACCTGCAGCACTCCACCACAATTCCACTGACAGAAAACTGCACATTTAGTCAGAAGTTTATCATAGGTTATGTCTGAAAGGCATAATCCGGTGCACCTCTTTGCTGTTGTAAATATACCACAAAAGGTGGGAGACCCACAGATTGGAAGCCCTCGTTTAGTGGTTTGAGGTCAGGACTGGGAATCAGAAAACCTAGAGTAAGCATGTTGTAAATACATTATAAATATTACTTCAGGTCCTTGTTCTGTAAAATGACTGGCCAGTGCAGAAGGAAAAGTTAGTACAAAATAAAAATGATAAAAATCTCTAAATCTGTTTTTGCTTTATGTCAGGAAAGATACATACTTTTTAGAAATTGATCAGCTTTAGACTACAGTTGCCAATGATGGAGAAATGAGTGCCCTCACACTCCTTGATGATCTTCTCCAGAAGTTCATAGAATCACAGAATCATAGAATGGTTTGGGTTGGAAGGGACATCAAAGACAATCTAGTCCCAACTGCCCTGCTGCGGGCAGGGACCCCCTCCACTAGACCACGTTGCCCAAAGCCTCATCCAACTGGGTCTTAACCTCTTCCAGGGATGGGGCCTCCACAACCTCTCTGGGCAGCCTGTTCCAGTGTCTCACCACCCTCACAGTGAAGAATTTCTTTCTAACATCTAATCTAAATTGACCCTCCTTCAGCTTGACCCCATTACCCCTTGTCCTGTCACTACACTCCCTGATAAACAGTCCCTCTCCAGCTTTCCTGTAGGCCCCTTCAGGTACTGGCAGGCCGCAATTAGATCTCCCTGGAGCCTTCTCTTCTCCAGGCTGAACAACCCCAACTCTCTCAGCCTGTCCTCACAGGAGCGGTGCTCCAGCCCTCTGGTCATCTTCATGGCCCTCCTCTGGACTCGCTCCAACAGCTCCATGTCTCTCCTGTACTGGGGCCCCCAGAGCTGGACGCAGTACTCCAGGTGGGGTCTCACAAGAGTGGAGTAGAGGGGCAGGATCACCTCCCCCGACCTGCTGGTCACCCCTCTTTTGATGCAGCCCAGGACACGGTTGGCTTTCTGGGCTGCAAGCGCACACTGCCGGCTCATGTTGAGCTTTTCATCAATCAATACCCCCAAGTCCTTCTCCTCGGGGCTAAGTTAGGTACTCTTAATGCTGCAAATCTGCATTTTTAGTTCCAACTTCATTAACACCACCTTCTTACCCAGTATTTTATGCTTTTGTTTTCTAGATCAAACAATTGCACAGCTTTCACTTTTCCAGGCTCCAGTTCTCACCAAAAGCATATTAAAATAGTTGCTGAATAAAAATATCTAAAAATACAACCATGAGAAGAGGTAATACAGAAATATCAGTCAATATGTCACGATGTTCCTTTAATTCTAGATTTATTCTGACCTTGAGATCTACTAGTTCATAGTTGAAAAACCTGCTGTACTTTACAGCCTGCAGCATCAGCGGTTTCAGAGGATAAGAAACTCAAAGGTCAGCTCTACTGCTTCTTCCTATCCCACAACATTTACTGTAACAATCTGACTCAGGACAATCATAACAACCTGGACTCAGTGTAACTGCTAATAACAGTGATATTAACAATAATAAAATTCTATTGGCCTTTGGGAGACTCTTGGCATTACAGACTTGCTAAAAATAAACATGGGAGATAGTAGTGGAAACCTCTGACCTCTGGTCACTATATCTGCTCTTACAGTGATAAAAGGAGTGTATTCTTTAATACAAAAACTGTGGGGGCAGAACATAAAAGAAGATACTAAGGAGCAGATTTAAAAGAAATAAGATGGAAAAGAAAGGACATGTGTGGAACTCATTGCCATAGGAATCCAGAGAAGCAGAAAATTTCTATGAGTCCAGCGGTAGACTCAAGAAGTTAAGGGAAAACACTGTGGGTTACCCAATATATGAAGACCAAATCCAGCTCACGAAGGCCCCCAACTGCAAATTAGATGCTGGAAGAGTAACAGAGGGAAGCATTGTGTGCCATTACTCTGTCTTCACTCTTCTCAAGGCAAATGTTTATGGCCTCTGCTGCAAATGGGATTTTGGGGGTAGGAGTGGACTTCAGTCAAGCCCAGCACAGACAGTAGAAGATGGTCCTGCCCTGGATATGTGCCAAATCTATTATCAGAGACGGAGGTGTCTTATTTCTGTGATGACAGGAGAACAAATATAAGATTGGGAGACGGTGTGTCTGATCCATCTCACCATAGAGTCAAGGCCTACAATCACATGGAGCTTTTCAAGATGCAGGAAGCTGCAGCTTGGAATTTTACATGTTGGCAGTGATGCACAGTGAAGACCTAATTAAGAAAATCTTCCAATTCAAGAAATGACGCACGAGTCTAACCCATTACTGAAACTCCATTATAGGCCAATCGTGTGCTTCCTGGCCACCCTGAGTATGAATAGCCTGAAGCACGTGCTTTTGGGCTTATCTGAACTGAGGTATTTAACTGGTACTTTAAAGGCCAATAAAGACAAAATGCCAGATTTATGAGAAGTCAACACTGTCCTTGGGGCCAGATTTCCAACACAGCTTACTAGGCAACAGAGCTACCATTATGTCAGCTCCGGACAGATTTCCAAGAAAACTCATTACTGGACATGCTGAAGTCTTTGACAACCTGGTCACATACTTTGGTGCCTGAAAAAGAGATGAGAGCCTTCTAAATTCTCTTCTCTGATGTCTGGCTTTTGAGAAGCCAAATAGCCCAGACCATCCCTTTTGCCTCTCCAGTCTTTGCAACAGTAGATGGAAGAAATATATACTTGGTTTACCCTTTCTCTGAGTCCCCCACTCCTGCCTGCAGGTGCCATTGATGTGAAAAGAGGGTTAGAGTTCATCACAGATGAATCTGTTATGAGGAAAAGTTATACATAAAGGCAGAGTAAGGAAACAGAGGGAGAAGTGAAAAGGAGCATAACAACTAAAAGGACAAGAGCATGAGACAGAAAGGATGCCAGGTTCCATAGGCAGGCCCAACAAGCCGAATACTGGTGGTATGATGATAAGAGCATGTAGTTTAGACCATATTGCAGGGAATTGCTCAAGCTCAGCTGAGCTATTTTGAAAACAGAGGGGGGAAAATGCTGTCTTTCAGCCTGATATAAACAGCAAATTATTATTTTAGCTAGAAAAATCATACCTATTTAGCATAATTTATTTACATTACACTTATTTGAAATGTTCAAAGACCCCCTTTGAGTTAGGCACTATACAGACACACAGAGCCATGATACTACATAGAGGACAGGTATGGGCTTCAGGTAGCAACATTATTCTCCTGTTTTACAGAAGAGGTTGCCTAGGTTCACGGGATAAAATAACTCTGCCCATACCAGATGGAAGGTTGTGACAGGGCTTAAACTATCCACAGATCTCCAGCACCTGTCCAGACTCTTTTCCCAACAGCATCTCTCATCTATTGTTTGTCAAATTTTGTTTTTTGAAAACAGGGGTTTTGCAAATTCATGCAACTCTTCTGACTGCAAAATACAACTGAAGTGATTCTAACTACATTACTAAGGGTTCTCTTTGACAACCACTTATCCTTCACAGTAAGTATTGTTTTTCTGAGATCTTTTAACATTGTTCTTCAAGGTGATAAGGAGGCAGAAAGGAAACATCTCTGCCACGTACCGCTTTTCATATAAGAATCCCTTGTTCTCAAATATTTGGGGATGCAGTCCACCATAAACTCAATAATTTTAACATCATCTAGTTGCCAGCAGAAATTTACCCTTTTTCAGTTCTTCTGGTGTTTCTGCATGAGTCTGTTGCTGAAGTCATAATTTTGTGTTGAGCTAATGTCCGTGGCAGCCTAAATTGTGGCAGAAGCTGAACTTCTATGACAGAATCTCAGCTTAGCTGAGAAATTTCTATTCCTTATGCCCAACTCTGAGCCAACAGAGATGGCAGGACCAAAACTCCACCTGCTTTCTGGCCAGCTCCAACATGCCCACATTGGGGAAGCATGACAAGCCTTCTCTTTTTCACCAGTGCCACCACAGGGCAGAAACTGAGAGGAAAAGAGAGTATCTCACTCCTATCCTACTGCCAAATAGCAAACATCTAGGGTCATGGGGAGATCTGGTCATAAATCTGTGAAGGACTGGGTACTTTGGGCTCATCAGGTTATGAATGGTAGGTGAGACCATGCACCATTCCATTGAGCAGGCCCTCTTCAGCCATACATTAATCATTACTGTGTCCTCTACTGAGGCTTCTCAAACTTCAGCAGCAAATTTTTTTTTAGCCCTGCCAGCCTTTGACACTACCACCCTGGAATGGGCACAGTCACTGCCACCCTTCTCCTTGTTGGCAGCTATTTGGGTAGTCTGTGAGAGAAGGCTCACCTATTGCACACTAAACCTTGAGAAGAATGACAGCAAATGTCTTTGCAAAGCTATCATCTCTAGTTAGGTGGCCTCCAGGATCACATTCTTATACTCCCTATTTCCTCATTACACCCCAGCATTACTAAGGCATCTATACTTCACAGTTAAAAATTTTAACCCTTTTCCTCGGAAAAGGACACATGGGTTATCTTACCTATGGAGGGAGGGGGGGGCAAAGCTATAATTTCTTTGAGGCTGATCTGAAAAGCAAAATCAGCCCAGCTGACTTAAAAGAGAAGAAAAGCTAAGCTTACTTCTTGCGTTGTTGAATCCCTGCAACAACGAGGAAAACAATTCCAGCCACAATGAGACAAAGAACAACACCAAACACGATAAGCCAGACAGGTGTGGAGGGTTCAACTGGAGGCGATAAGGTTGAAGTTATCTTCAGGAACTGCAGTGTTTTGTCATTCAGTAGGAAGGCACTGTTGATTCTGTTCCGGTTCATCCTTCATAAAAACACAAAGAATATCACAACTCTTTATAAAGGTATTTTTGAAGTTAAAAGGATAGAAGAAAAGGAGTTTTCACATATGTGCTGCAAGTCTGTGAGGGCAGAATTTGATCCAGCATGATGTTGGTAGGATTACACAGACCTTCACTTTAACATAGACCCTGTCAGTAATCCATAGATACCCGTACACTTGCAAGGGTTTGACTCCAGACTTTCATGTGCATTTATCTGAAAAACTGGAAAATACAGATGAGACCTGCAGTACAGTATTATTACTTGTTTCCAGTTTGGACCATGTGCTGAAGATATAGCAGGTTGTAATCTGTAAGGGTGGCTCTGTTGTCTTGCTCATGCAGCATTCTAGATTAGCACGGGAGTGGCAGATCTACCCTGCAACGCTCAGAGGATATTCTTATCAGTGCCCCTTGGTTCCTCAAACTGAACCATCCTGCATGTCATGGGGAGGTACATCTGCTGTTGTTGCTGTAGATTTTCTTATGTCCATGAAGCACAGGATACAATTTGGTCCAGAAGAATCCCTATTGCCAACATGCCCTTCTTCCCTGCAGGATGCAGCTAAAGGGATTTGTACTGTGCACATTTTTTCCATTATGAGAAACTAAGTCTGAGAAATAGCTTTTTCATACGAGTAGTACAACTGCTACCCTTTAATGGATATCTTCACCCACAAGCATTACTTCTAAGCATTTGCAGGTATTTCTGGATCTGAATCTACAAAGCCTTAAAAGGCTTTAGTAGTATCTTTCATTAGCTTTTTCAAAATGTTAGAAATTTATAAGAAAATGTATTACATTTATTGGTCTTGAGAGATTCTTTTTGTTTGCAGTTGTATGATTTACAGCAGCTCTTTCTTGAATACAATTCAATTTATTTACCATAGAGCGAGTATTTCCGAAGAACAGATACATGGGAAATACAGGTAAGCTTTTGCAAATTTCTGTTCTTGGAAATCATAATGTTTGACTGTCTCTTAAACAGGAAGTTCTTAGCCTTAATGGAACACTAGCATTCCTGAAGAGGACTGAAAGCCATGGCATATTATAAGACTCACAATACGGTAAGCCGTCTTTGATTTAGAAAATATTTTCATCCTTATTGATATAAAAGGATCATTGTGAACAGCTGAAATAAGCATTGTTCACCCTTATCTAACGGCTGGAGTTACAGACATGTGCTGAAACACATGCAGGTAACTACAGGTCCATTTTCTATTTATATATGCATAAATGTATCTTGTGTATATTTTATGCAAGATCTTGGGACTCATACAGAGCTCTGAGAAGGTTTGCCTTCCTCTTTATTATTAGTTTGTAGAGAACCTCATATAATAAAATCCTGGTCCATGGGTAGCATTCTTATGTGCTACTGTAGTATGAAGAATTAGAATAATGATTTAGTATGGAAGCCTGCAATCAGAAGCAATTGAATAAAAAACACTGTAGTTTTATTTCTTGTTTCTAAGTTAGGTAGGAATTAAAACTTTTCATAAATAGCATATTCTTCTTTATCAGGTGACAGACAACAGTTAAAAAACAAACATAATATAATAGCATCCAATTTCTGTGGCAAACAGGGCCCATAAAAGACTTAAATAAATCAGCTTATGCTACTGAACATTTCAAAGAATAACAGAAATGCAAAAACCCTGCATTCCAGCACTCTTACAGAGAGCTTCAGTGAATAAATAATCTGCTTCCTCCACTAATGCCATGAAGCTATTGTTTGGTGTCTCTGTAGGAAATAGTTTAATCTGCTCATAAGCTTAAAAGTTAATCTTTCCAAAAGAACGCATACTCATTCATCAGGAATTAGGCATTACACCTCCATAGAGATAACATGAATTTTCAAGACAAAGTACAGAATGTCTAAAAACAAAGAGGTCTGTTTTCCACTCCGTGCTTGAGAAATATATGCGAGTTATGCTGCTTGTGGGAGTCATCCCTATAAACCCCTTATGAAGGTTTGGTGGACCACTGAAGTCTGATTACCCATTTTTTTCTTTTTCCCTCTTCAGCTCCACACTCTTCATTTTATTGACTACCAAATGCGATATTTAGTAGAAAGCAAACTGATTTGTACCGCATGGTACTTTGTAAAAGGAATGCTCAGCTACGATAGCGACTGGCATTCTATAAAGAGCCGGTATGAAAGGAATGAGAGTATAAAATTGTTTAAGCCAAGCTGGGACACAGCCAGCTCTGCTCATGAAGAGTTCACATGAGCTCTTCTCATGTGAAAGCTGACTTCTGAAGTAAGTCAGATGAACTGTACTTGAAAAGCACTGAAAAGGAGTCTGTGGTCATTAGTCCAGGTGTAGATGTGCATGTGGCATGCAATGAACGTTAAATGATATAAATCCCACCCAGAAAGTGTGCAATTCCATCATCTAAGGAAGAAGGCTCTCTCGCTGAGAAAGTAGCAGCAGGATGAGAGCCGTGTACGTGCCATGCACTGGACAGCAAATTTCAGGTAGGGCTCTGGAAAGGGACTAGATTTCATCTGAGGCTCCAGCATTAAGAGACTCCTTCCAAAGTTACAGTCCCAAGGCTCACATGCTTTGCATTCTGTGGGACTGTTAAAAATCCTTCTAATCTCACATGCAGGAAAGAGTACTGACCCCTTGGTGTTTTAACCACTTGGGTTAGTTTATCCTTAAAGAGGCAGAGTGCTCGTCCACACATGGTCCAGAGAGAGAAAGCTTCCCCAGTCAGCAAGGAAGAAAAGGCTGCAGAAGCAGTGACTGTACCTGATGGCTGCCTCTACCTCACTTCCAGGAACAGTTGTCATGTTTTTGGAAGAATCTGTGACCACAAACCAAAATGACACCCGATCCGTCGCATTGCAGAGCAGCACATCGGAAATTCTGTGGATAGTTGAAACAAAAGTCATCATTAAAGAAGCATGGAAGGAACTATTGAAATATTTCAGATTTTATTAAAATATTGCTTTCATCTAGAGGGAGCAAAAATTCTTACATTTCAAAAAGGTAACAGTTAATATCCAAGGAAGAAATATCACTCAGCATTTCCCATTTCCCAACATGATTTTTAAAAATTCAAGCTTACTGAGACAAAACTTGAGACTTCAAACAAATTTCTGAATCTACAGAATCTTACAAAATTGCATGGTCTTGGACATACATTTAGCCTAATCAAATGGAAAAATACATTTTTGCATGTTAATTATCAGGGCTGTGACAAAGGTCATATACTGGAGCAAATGCATTGAAGAACTAATAATTTAGGTTTTTACACCTAATACCACAGGAGCCAGACATGGGGCATTCCCCACATGATTTTCAAGTGAGTGCAGTCCTATTCTACACATTTCTTGGAGGCAAGGGTAATGAAATTGATGTTATTCTTTTTGACATCATTCTGCATAGTCAGGCACAGAGTGGAGAAACAGGCTAAATTTCAACATTATAGAATCACAGAATCATAGAACGGTTT